AAGGACAAGGAGAGCTTCCTAAAGAGCTGTAAGAAGAGCAGATGAGGAGTGTCTCAGTTTTTAACTTGCTTCGTGCTGTGCTTGAGCCTAAGATGTTCAGGAGGTTCCGGTTTAGATGTGCAGCTTCTACATGAAGTAGAATCACTTCAGGTAGTCTTTGGATATGGAATCTGACCTCCTGCAGGAGGCCCTTAAACTAGATTTTGGGTTACATGTGTGGAATTGATACTGCAGTCATCTTTGTTCCATGCAGTTGGCTTTAATATCAAAGGAAGTTGATGAGTTCAGTGTGCTTGTTCTGTGCTGTAGCTTTTCATTCTAGATGTTCATCTGAACTGGGGCTCCCTATTCAGTTTTGGTGAATCTCAGAGTTACTTTACATTACCCTTGCTGGTCAGAAATGCTTATTTCTTCTAGGAAGGCCATTATGTTGTTCAAGAAGAACTTGTGGCTTTCTTCATGTTAACTGCCCACTGTGGGTGTAAACCAGTGGTGAGAATGCTGAACTGTTTCTCTGGAGCTGGAATAGCCTCAAATTCACACTTCCTAATCCCTGGTGGTAAAAATCTGCAATTGTGGTGCAGATTTACCACAGGCTGGCTCCTTCTTTGCAGAACCACAGCAGCAGAGTCATTTGGAAGCTGCCTTGTGCTGTAACTCCTGATTAGGCCATCGAGCTGGTGGAAGAGCTGAGCCAGTTGGAGCAGGAAGCCCATAATCCATGTCTGTAATGACACAGCTGTACTCTTAACACAGGGGCATCTTCTGTTTTGGTTCTGCTGTGTATTGAGCAGAGGATCAGACAGGGATAGTGCTGTTGTCTGACCATGCAAGGGCTAGAATAGGGGGTCAGAGCAGCTCACCATGAATTCAGCAGAGTCCTTCGTCTGCTCATCTCTTCTGATGGTTTTCACATTTTTTCCCACAAACAACGTGTGTTATATTTGGAGCTGATGCTTCAGCTTGCTCACAGCCAGTGAGCATGAAGGAGCAGGAGAGGGGGTGGCCAGTTGACAGGGATCTCTTATAATCTGCTTCTCAATAGAAACTGAGTGATGGTTGTGCTCTGCCAAATGAGAAGAGGGTGGTTGTAGGGGGGAGCACCTCGAAGTGGGAATCCAGGATTCTGTGGTCTACTGAAAAACAAACCAACAAAACAACCCAGCAAAAGGAGTGGTTAAACCCACTCTCTTCTAGATTTGCCTTTTTAACATTCTCTTAAGGAAATGTGCCTGACTGCAACCTTGAAGCTCGAAACATTGTTCCAACCCCACCCAGAAAGCAGTTGTGTTGGGTTTCCCTATACCACAAACTGTGTGTATTGTGTGATTAAGCAGATGGGTTTAAAAGCATTGATTTAATTCATGTTCCTACAGTATTCCCAAGGCTGGGATTATCCTGGTCTTTTGTGGTAGCCCTGAGAGGTGAATCAAAATGTAGTATTTTGCTGTGGCAACAGATGACATGGTTTTGTCACATCATAGCTACTCTTAAGTATTTATGTTGTTGAACCAAGTAGTTTAGGTAATAACAGGGTTTAGTGTAGAACTGGAACTGAGCCTTGGAACTTCATGTGTAAAGTTGCTCCTCGGCTGCCTGTAGGGGACTAAGGCTGTTGTTCCTATTGACCAAGGTGTGTGGCAGGCTCATGATGTAAGTGGTACTGGTGACACAGAACAGCAGTGGAACAGAACCTTGGGGTTATTTTATCCTTTCAGAAGCACTGAAATGATCTAGCAAGGTATAGCAGGTAAGGTCTGTCAAATCTGATAGAAAATGCTTGGATTCACTTCCTCTATCTAACTGTAGTTTTTATTGTGTGGCTTTAGTTAAAAAAAAAACACAAGTGGGTTCTGCTCTGCCTTGCAAATGCTGTGGTGGTAAATGGAGTTACCACTGCCCCCCTCGGTTACACCACAGCACGGTTCTCACTTGGCACCTTCTTCACTAAATCTGTTCAGACAAGCTCTTGCTTTCCTGACACACAAAGGATGAGGAGGGGGAAAGGACAGATCTGTCTGAAGGAAGCACTGGAGGATGTGCAGAGAGAGCCTGTGGTGAAGGCAGGAACCAGCCCTTCCCTGGCGGCCTCTGTGGGAGCTCCAGTGCAGCGGGAGTCCCTGCTCCAAGGCTGTGTCAGGGGCTGTGGCTGTCCAGGCTGTGTTTCCTGGATGCTGGGTTTGTTGCATGGGTGGGGAGCCATAGGCTGAGCTTTGAGCACTCCAGCAACTGAGACAGGCACAAATGTGATCACTTGGCAGCTGCGGCTCAGAGTAATAAGCTCAGGGCTTGAATTGCAGAGGGCTGGAATCCTGGCTCTGTCACCAGTTCACCAAATGGTTCATAACTAATATATTAATATATTTTTCCATCTGTTGAACACTCTGATCTCACAAAAGCAGACAGAGTAGATGTTTGTCAGGCCTTGAGAACATGAACAATGAGCATCTGAGAGAAACACCAGAAGGAGATGAGGAATGTCACAGTGCTTTCTGGGCTTCGAAGCTTTGTGATAAATACAAGAAAATATGGAAGAGAAAGATAAAAATGTGTAACAACGCCTTTATTCATTACATGTAGATGATTTGCCAGCCTTACGCAGGCCATAGATCACATAAATGTAATCTTGTATCTTAACATGTCCTCATGGGAACCTGAGTTCTTAACTTATCCACACTTGTTTGCAACATAAGTCATTGCAATAGTTTTAAGCCCAGTATTTTCATGTGAAGCTAGCTTTGAGAAGGTGGGGTAATGTGGCTTTGAAAGCCTGCTATCATCACCCGAATCTTCACTGCCGTGTCAAGACCACAGACATAGAGGAAGATTTGCTTTTCAGTGTGCAAGAACCTTCCTTTCACTGTGGGTGTTATGCTGTGGGTTACTTGAGTGCATGTAGCCAGTGAAATCATTATTCTCTCTGTGACAGAGTACTGGGCTTTATTGCCCTGTGTGTTCACATGGTGTTAAAGTAGCCTTGTTAAACTGAAGGCTGAGTGTGTGAGAGGTGAGTTAGTCCCGGCCATGCACAGCCTGTCCGCACCCTTGCAGCGGGGCCCTAGGTCAGACAGGGCTCTTCAGCCCTCCACTTACCCAGAGAGCGAATACTCTCACCCTGGGCTTGTCTGTCCAGGAAGCTTCGAGCTCCTCTCCGGAGTTTTCCATGTGATTGGGGTGTTTGCAGTTTGTTGCTCAGTTGTCTTTTCTCTCCTGCTTAGTAAGGCTGAAGTCCCTTGTGTACTTGAAAAAGAGCTTCTGCTCACTGGGGCTTTGTTCACTGCTGCGGGCGACAGACACTTCAGGCTTCCTTTGAATCTCCTGATTGTTTGTGACCCCTTCCAGAAGCCTGACATGGACAGGATGAGCTCACAAGTCTCATTCCTAAAGGAGACCGGGATAAAAGGTTGCCCTTGTTTGTTTGCTGCTTGCAGCAGTCGGAATGAGCTCAAAACGTAGTGTGGGATTTAGACAGCAAGGAGCACCACAGAGCGTGCCAGGGCTTGTCACCAGTGAAAATCAGTGATTTCCTCATCTCCTGCCTTTTGCTGTGCTGAATGAGGAGTTTGAGTTTTCACTGTGATGCCTCTTGGGCTGTCATAGAATCAACAAGGGCGAAAAAAACCTTAAGCTCATGAAGTCCAACCTGGCACTGCCAAGGCCACCACTAACCCATGTTCCCAAGCACATCTCCACATCTTCTAAACGCCTTCAGGAGCGGTGACTCCACCATGTCCCTGGGCAGCTTATTCCAATGCTTGACAACCCTAAACCTCCGCTGGCACAACGTGAGGCTGTTTCCTCTTGTGGTTTTGTTCTTGGTTGTAGCAGAAAGATAGTGAGTAAAAATCCTCAGAGCTCAGTGTGATTGTGTCCCAAGACTCTCAGTTCTCCTCCAATGAAGAGTGTCGTATCAGTCATCCTAAAGGATTATATCCCACAAAGCTTGTACCTGAGCGGAATTTCTATGAAGATGTCAGCCTAGCAGGACTTGGGCTGTTCTTTCCCCTCTCTGGCGCTCACATGCTGTACCTGAATGATAACACTGAAATATAGTTAATTGAATTACATTAACTCATATTGGGGGTACATCTTCCTTCAGTGGGAGCATCCTGTTCTTTGTCATTAGCCAGCCCTTCAAAAGCAGCTTGTACCTAATATTGAGGGAGGGAGCAGCTCTTCTCAATCTGCACATTGCCATGAGAACTGTTTTCTGCTTTGACTGTTTAAAACAAAACCTCTGCTCTCGTGCTGAGAGCACCAGTGTTCCTGGAGGGGCTCAGATGGCAGCTCCATCTGGTGCTTCATTCCCTTTGGAAGAGCAGAGCAGCAGCATCCCTGTGTCCAGAGCAGGAGCACGCATCCTGCAGCTGAACAGTGATAATGCTCCTGCACAGCACGCCCCAGGGGCTGGGACTGACACCCCGAAGCATTGGAATTAACTCTTTTCCCAATATCTATTAATTTATAGCACCTTTGGCAAAGGATTTGCTCAGATCCTTTCACTTTTTGCAGGTAGAAAGGAGTGGAGAAGCTTCCTCCCTGCCCAGCTGCCCTCTGGAATGGGCTCTAGGAATGGGGTGGCTGTTGGGGCATATTTTGGGGATAAGTGCTTTTTCACAAGCTGGGAACAAGTTTCCCCAACTCTTTGGGAAGAGGAAAGCAACAAAAGATAACTGCTCAGTTTTGAACTCTCATTCCATGTCTGAATTAAGTTAAACTGAATTTACTTGAAGATACTGGATTTTCTAAGCTGTGACTCCTGTGTAAGCTGTTGGTTTTCCAACAACCCAACCATTGGAGGTTTGTGCTTTGTCCTCTCCACAGAGGTTTTTCCCCTTGTGTAGAACTGTCTTTATACAACAGCCCTTTCTGTTCTGGGGTTTGTAGCCTCTGTGGGTCTCTGAACAAGAGCTGTAACCTGCTTTTTTGCTCTAAAAGAAGTTGTGTGGGGCATGGGGTGACGGACACAGCTTTATGTGGTCTGTGTGCTTTACCGTGGGGTAAAATTGTCTATGGGGCAGCACTTGCATCCCTGCGCAGCGGTGTGAGATACAGGAATTCTTGCCTTGCCTTGGAAGCTCTTCTTCCCTTCAGAGCATGGTGGTGTACCTGAAAAAGTCAGCAGAGCCCTAGAGCTGGGAGTCCCCCAGCACCCGAGCCCCGTGTTTCCATGCTGGTGAAGATCCCCCTGTCCCACGCAGTAGCTCTGGAGTAAATCTGGGGAGGTCCTTTAACTGAGCACGTAAAAAGCTTAACTTGAAAAATCCTCTTTTCCCCTTTGGTTGTTGTCCATCTCCCTGGCAGCCAGTGGGGCAGCACAGAGCCCATTCCCTTCCTGCAGTGGCTTTCCTGGGACATGGAGGGAGTTGGTTTTGGTGGTGGGACCAGTGCTGCTGCTGGGAGCCATGTTCCGTGCTCTGAGGTGGTTCATTCGTAACAGAATGATGGTTAAGTTGAAAAAACCCATTGCTTTTTCCGTTGAATATTCTCCTCCTGCCTCAAAACACAGCTCCTTTTGACCCAAAGTGTTTGTAATTGCCTTAAGATTCTGTTTTGTCTCCTTTTTAAACTGCCTGCTTAAATGTGCCCCTGAAATCGAGCCGTCGCCAGCAGCTCAACCTCCTCCAACACCCAAAGCTTCCAGGTTGCAGCTCTGGAATCAAGTCACCATGGCTCAAAATCGCTCCCTGGTTCCACAGGGCGAAGCACGGTGATGGGGTGGAGGGTGAGGAAGAAGCCTTGTGTTGTTATTGATTATCTTTTTAACCCATCCTACCTGCAAACGGCCTGTTTCTGCCCCTGATGGTTTCTGCCTAACAAATGGTGTTTCTTTTTTACAGCGTTATGATCCTGGACTTGTTGTGGTGATGGTAAACTTAGCAGTGGTAATTTTTTATTTTCAGACTGAATTACTCCTTTTGTCATCAGTGCACCAATATGTTAGGCTTACTTTCTCTGTTGTAGCCATCATCCTTCTGCTTGGTCTTTCATTTTCCTTTCCTTTCCTTTCTTTATGCACACTTGTCTGATCCTTGTTCATTAAAAGGGTATTGCTAAGAAGGGATGTTTCTGTTTGTGTTAGAACTGCCAAAATCAGTTTAAACATAAATTTCTAATACTGTCCAAACGTGATTTGCCCCCCCCCCCAACCATGATGGGCACTAGCACTTGCTACTGCAATTTCCAACGAGATTTGTAAAATCAAACCAAAACAACCCAAAAAGAAAACTTTGACTGCCTTAGAAGGCAAAAGTACTGATGCATTGCTTGTGCACAGGGGTTTACCAGGGCAATGAGGCTGCTTCCAAATGTCTCAGTTGCTGGAGAAACAACCAAAAAAAAGACCCAAACCAAAAAGACAAAATCTTGGATAAGAACCTGACTGTGTTGCTGGTGCTTGCGCCAGCCCTTCCATTTGGGTTCCCACTTCCCAGTAAATCCCTGGCTGAGACGTTATGAAAGTGATATTGCACTTAGGAAGTCATTTTTATAACCTGTCTTTAATTTGGTCCTTTTGCTAAAAATTGCAGTCACTGCTTGATTTATTATACCATTGGGCAGAAGAGAAACCTCCTGAATCCGAAAACATGGCAAAGAGCTGAGCGAAAGCTCCAGTCAGACTCTCATCTTGGATCAGGTTGTGGCCCTGGTGGCTCTGCCAGTCACATTCCTGGTTGTACCAACAAAAGCTTAAAGCAGTTGATTAAATTGACTTGTTTCTGATAGAAAACCACAAGTCTCTGGACTTGAAGAGTTCAAAAGACCCAAATCTGAGCAGGTTCCCTCTGGGGTCTTTACTCTTTGGAGGAGCCAGAGCCATACTGGAGCTAGAGATATATTGGAGAAGAGGGAAGTTGATGTTTGATGCCTCTCTGGCTTCTCAGAGCAGTCTCAAAGACTTGAACCTGCTGTGCATGTGGCTCTAGGGACTATTTTTGGCACAATTAAAACCTGTTAATCTTTTTAGCCCAAAGGTATAATATCTGTGTATGTGTGTATAACAAACCAGTTGTTTACACCAAACCAAGAGCAATGATAAGGGCAGTAAACGTTCTGTTTTCTCACTCAAGGTATGCTCCGGAGAAGGTAAGTACTTGTTCTGTGGGCTTACATCACAACCCAGCGCCAGTTGTGATGTAAAAAGAAAGAGAATAAGAATTGAAACCAAAACAGACCCCTAAAGCTGTGGTAGTAAAGTGCTTGTCTGCCCCATTTTGCTTTGTTTGGCTGGTTATGAGTGGATTAAAGATATGTTTTATTTAAAAAACCAAAAAGAAATCTCCAGCATAGTTTGATTAGTTCAAAGTCAATTTTCTTCGCAACTCGTCCTTTTCACAGCTTACAAGGGAGCAGTGGGCATGGGAGCAGCTCTGCAGAGCAGGGCAAGCAGAGCCTGGCCTACATGGCTGGTGGGCCTTGGGGCTGGAGGAAGTTTGGCTTCCGAGCCACGCTTCTCAAGTCAGCTTCCCTGGCTTGTGGGGAGGGAGAGAGGCTTCCACATCCTGGACGGGAAAGTCCTGGTCAGTTATGAATGTGGGAGAGCAGGGAAAGGTGTTTAATAGCTTGTTTTGCTCATATCGGCAGATGAGTACTCATTGCCTGGTGTGGGAGCATTGAGGGGAAGGTGCATTTCTCAAGTCCTGCCCTAGGACTTGTCACAGCTGAACATTGACCACACCAGTAATTTATATGAGCAGTTAATGTTCAAAAAATACCATTGATCAGTACTCGGGGTGCATCTCACTCTAACTGGTTTGGAGCTAAGAAGCAGTTTGGCTGTAAGCTGTGAGAATGGCTTGTGTTTGGTTCACTGTAGCTTTCTGGTCTCTGCACTCCAAGGCAAGATCTCTAACCACCCAAACCCAATGTCTAAAGCAAGCTGCAGTGACAGAGCAGCCACTGACCACCTCTCTGTGTGTTCCTTTTCCAGGGAGGACGGATCCCATCCCTATCGTTGTCAAGTATGATGTCATGGGCATGGGGCGGATGGAAATGGAGGTAAGTCACCCAGCTCCTGCCATGTCACCCAGCTTCCTTGCCTGGCTCTCAGGGATAGGGGAGAAATCTAAAAGTGAGGATTTGTGCATCACCGGTAAAGCAAAACTCACTCTTAAATCAACACAGTAGCAAACCCTTCTCCTAAAACGCATCCTGTGTTTACTTGTGGGTATCCAGGTTCTGTGTCTGGCACTCCTGTGCTTTGGAATTCCCCTCTGTAAAGCTGAGGCTGCTTCTGGCAGTGCATGGGCTGCCAGGAGCATCCACCCCACAGGTGGATGAACTGCTTCCCATGCAGGTTCCACTGTGGGATGACACGACAGGGAAAGTGAAGCAGCACAGGCAAGGATCCTGTTTCAAACCTCATCATGTTGAAATTGCCCACCCAGGCAGTGTCAGCTCTGCAGAGTGCTCCTGGGACAAATCACAGCTTCTCATTTGTTTTTTAGCTTGATTACGCCGAAGACGCCACCGAGCGGAGGCGAGTGCTTGAGGTGGAGAAGGAGGACACTGAGGAGCTGAGGCAGAAATACAAGGTACTGACCCAGGGCATTAATGTTGGAGTTCCCATGGGCAGGCTGCAGAGGGAAGGTTTGGACCCTTCTCATCAGCAAGTGGCCCAAAGCCTGCTTCCCTCCTGCAGCACCCCCCTGCTCCCGTCACGCAGCAGCTGTAAGGTGGGAAGCATTCCTTGGTTTCAGAGTGGTTGGTTGGTGTGTGAGCTGCATAGCACGATGCTTTAGCTCGGGTCTGCAGTGTGATTTATGGGGAAGTCCCTGAGTTTTGCAGTTGTCTTTCTAACGCACTTGAAGGTATGTTGCTCTCCAAGACTGTTTTGTCTCCCTGCTGCTATTCAGCCCAGGCTTTTTTCCCCTCAGGAGCTTGGTGGCAGCCTCTCCCAGCTCTGCTGTGTATCATCAGTGGGCTTTAACTTCAGGCTCTTGCCTGTCTGGTTTCATCTGCGGAAAATCTCTGCCAGCCTCATTTTTCCACTGCTCTGCAGGAGTCCATTATGCAACTGCCAACTGCGGCCGCATCCTGATGAGCCATTCAGTGAGTCTCAAAGGAAACTCAGAGAACTCTACAACCAAGAAGCAAGCAAGAAATGCTCTTTAATTCCCTCCTTTTGTAGTGCTCCTGAGCTTTCAGCTGGCTGTGTTTGCATTGTTGAGCCACAGGATGCTTCCTGACAAAACCCCGGCACATGGCGCAGGAAGCTTGGTCAGCGTTTCGGAGGGACTTTACATGTCATTGTTCTGGGGAGCTCACGCTGCTCTGTTTCCCTTGTCTTCCTAGGGACCAGCCTCAGGCTCAAGCCTCTGTGAAGCTGCGTTGATGATGTCTCAACAAGGGGCTCTGGCGATAGATAGAGGCAGGAACCTGAAATAGGTTTTATTAGTTAGAAGGTGAACAGCTTTTTAGCACTAGAATTTTTCAGATCTTTTCCCCCGTTGAAACTTTTTACATGAGTTTTGCATGATAGAAAACATGCTCGGCAGTACTTGAATGTCACTTTGCTGAGGCAGCAATCATGCTGCCTTGAACAAGATCTTGGAAAGGACAAGAGCTTTCATAGTAGTTCATTCTTAAATATTTGCTACCGGCTCTTGCTCACGTGAGGAAACTCCTCATAAGAAGTTTGTGTTGAAGATGGGATCTCTTAAACTCTTCAGTGCTTTTTCTCACATCTTAGGCTATTTTGAATTCTAGAATTTCTCCCTATCCCAGCTGAAGTCCCTTTTCTAACTGGCCATATGGGCTATGCTGATGGTAGCACAGCACACTTTAATGCAGCATTTGTAGCTTTGGTTTTGTGTGCCTCAGATAAACCTGCCCTGGCTTGGGGTTTGGGTGGTGTTATATTAACTTTGCTGATGGGACTGTAATTGAAGAAGGGAGGATGTGACCACTGCCAGCTGAGACCTCCTGTGCTTGGAGCTTCGGTTTGCACCTAATGGTGAATTATACAAGGAAACAAAGTACTGTCAGCAACCTCTAAGGTGGTCTCCCCCTCTTTTACTAACTGGCAACTCCCTGTACCTCCTCCCAGTGTAACCACTGTGTTGGAGCTCAGCTTAATGGACAGCATTGCTCCTGGGAGGATTGCTCTGACTGTAAAACTACGCTGGAGTGAGTTAATCTCCACGGTTTCTGTGCCATGCTTTGCCAGCCCCAGCTCCCTGTTCCTCCCTGTTGAACTGCAGACAAACTGAGATGAAGCAGACATCTGTTAGCACTCAAAATGGAGGAGGTATCAGCATTGAAATTCAAAGATTTTGTACCAAAAGCCACGCTCTTGCTTGGTTTGATGAGTATTTTGCACATCTTCTGTGAGCCGGCAGCTGCCAGTTTGTTTGTGTGGGAGCTTGAGGCTTTGAACCTCACTTTTCATCTCTGACAATTGAGCAGCTCTCCTCCTGCAGCCACAAAACTGCCATCAGCACCACACGTGCTGGTATCTCAGGAGAAGATCATCTTCCCATTTGTTCTCCAGGAAGTTTAACAGAAGCTTTGTTTGTGTGTCTGAATTTTGCAGGATTATGTTGATAAAGAAAAGGCAATTGCCAAGGCACTGGAAGACCTCAGAGCAAACTTCTACTGTGAACTCTGTGACAAGCAGTACCAAAAGCATCAAGAGTTTGACAACCACATCAACTCTTATGATCACGCTCACAAGCAGGTAAAAACAAGCGTTGATAGCACAGTTCATCAGTTTGATATTCACTGCAGTGGTCTTGTTTGTGGTTAACACTTTGAATTTCCCCAGTGTATTTGTTTTCCTTACAGCCCCAGAAATAGGTGGTTTATGTCACTGGTTCAGATTCTTATGCCATCGTGTATTTAAAAACCCAGCAAACACAAAAGCCAGCCCATGGTTGGCATGGAGGAGCCTGATCTTGAATGACCCAGCAAATTGGCTGCTGTTAAACTGGGGAGCGGACCTGTGGGGAGGGAGGGCTTCCAGTTTGCATCAGCTTTTAACGTAGTGCAGCTTTGGCAGCTGCTGCTTATGTGCCACATGTACCTGTTCATTACTTCAGTCTGTGTTCTGTCAAGCTGCTGGAAGCAGACTGGGAAATCATGGGCTGTGGCAAAGGAACTGTAAAAAAGGAGCACTTCCCAAATTCTTTAACCTTTGGGAGAAGGATGATTCAGAATCCCTGTGGAACTGACTTTGCTCCCAAGGTAGGGATGTACCATGGTATCTACATGGTACTTCAGACTGCACAGTAAACACTGCAAGTTCATGTGTTAGCCTCATCTAACTGTTTGAGGCAGCTATACAGCAGGTAGCAGTGTTGTGCTCCTCTCGGGATGAAAACTCAAGAGGAGGTTTTTGAATGTTGCTACTGATAAATTCCAAGGATACAATCATTCATATGCTGATAACTTCAGGAGGATGTGCTGTCGAGTACTAGATCTTGCGAAATAGCAGTGAAGCAACAGATTAAGACTAAGATTATGGCATTACAGAGTATGAGTTGGGTTTTTTTCCCCCCATTTATTTAGTATAGAATGTGATAACTCAGAGTGTTAACAGGAATGCTCCTGGCTGGGCAGTTCCTGTTTGAGTACTGTGATGAACTGTGGTTTGTTAGAATTAAGAGCAGAAAGTCAGTCCTTTACTTTGTGCTGTGAAAGGGGGCTGCTTTGGCAGAGCTGGGGGCACAGTTGTGCTACCCGATAGCAGTGAACTTCACCTGCAGCTTTCCATCAACTGGATTGAAACTTGAGTGCAGTGACATGCATCTATTTAGGAGGCTGAAGGACTTGTTTGTGTCACATTCTTACCAGGTGGTGATGCAGTACGACTGTGTTAGCTCCTGTTTAAATCCCTTGGGTGATTAATAGGGGGACTGGTGTGAGGCTGGTTCAGCCTGGAGAAGAGAAGGCTTCTTAAGGGAAGACCTTAGAGCAGCTCCAGTGCCTAAAGAGGCTGCAGGAAGCCTGGAGAGGGGCTTTGGACAAGGGATGGAGGGACAGGCCAAGGGGAATGGCTTGAACCTGCCCGAGGGGAGCCTGAGCTGAGCTCTTAGGCAGAAGCTCTTCCCTGTGAGGGTGCTGAGGCGCTGGCACAGGGTGCCCAGAGAAGCTGTGGCTGCCCCATCCCTGGCAGTGCTCAAGGCCAGGTTGGACACAGGGGCTTGGAGCAAGCTGCTCCAGTGGAAGGGGTCCCTGCCTGTGGCAGGGGTTGGAACTGGATGAGCTTTAAGGTCCCTTCCAAACCAAACCAGGCTGGGATTTCATAAGGTTGGCAAGGTCCAGAGTTTTTCTAGCATCTAGAGATGCTGTGGAGGGAGAAACAATAAACCTGTGAAAGACAACCAGCCGTCATTGGTATGAAAGGAGTCATCAGCAGGAGCACAAGAAGAGTGACCTGCAAGAAAATGTAATGGGAACACACAGGGTGGTAGTTATTTTAAAGGAACTGATGTTCTTGGATAATATTGATCCATTGCAGTAACTTCAAGCAGGCTTTGGAGAAAATGAACCCTCAAACTCACTCTGTCACCCAGCGTTAATTTCTAGACACACAGGGATTTATACAAAGCAGCAGTCATTCTTTGCTTAGGGAAAAAAACTGCTGGTCCAGCTTTATGCCATGAAATGTGTGTCACCCTCTTGGGTCAGTGTTCAGTGAGTGGGCTCGAAACTTACCTGAAATGGTGAAGGTGAATTCAGTCAGTAACACCAGCCCTCTGCTGCTGACCGCTGCTGCTCAAGGAAGGCTCATTTCCTACAGTCTACTCTAAATGCTAAGGTAGTTTAAAGAAAAAATTCTTTTTAATAAGATGTGGCACATGAAGTTTCAGATTTTTGCCTCTTTAGAGAAGAAGGCAATGTTCCATAAATGTTTTGAGGAAAACCATCAACTTCTCTTCAAAGTGGGCTGATGAGGGGGCTCTTAGAAAGATGTTGCACTAGCTGACCGCAGGAAACCAGCTTGGTGTATATTATCTGCAGTGTTTCGTCTTCTCAGTGGTAATTCTTGAGGCATCAGTGCTTCCTTTTGCCTTTTCCTAAGCTTGTTGGAAAGATTTCCACAGGATCATTTTTGCTTTTAAGTATTTTGAACTATGCATCAACATGCCATGGAAGTGTTTGCCTGTTCCTTCTGCGGCTCAGTGAGCATTAGGCTGTCCCTGGAAATAGCTGTTCCGTCCTCAGATCCCTTTCCACTCTCCAGTTATAAAGACACTGTCTTGTATTCCAGGAAGGAACTCCTGATTATTGCGAAACAGGGATGATAGGTAAGTGGCTTGATCCCTACCGGATAAATTCTGGACCAACTTGTTAACACCAAACAATTAAAGGGGAGGTTTTATTATTATCATTTCCTGACTACATTGGTTTCATGTAGCATTTGGGTTTATTTGAATCGACCTCAACACCTTTCTGTCCAAAAGGCAGTATTTCTTGATTGTTTTAACAGGGAAAATCATGTTCAGTTTCTCATCACAAATCATTGGCTGTTGAAGTCATTGGAAATGTCCTGCTGGAGGCGTGCAGCGTTGTGCCCTAGATTTTCTTAAATGAGGTTATTTCTTGGAATGAGAAGTACAGATGGTTGAAAGAGCAGTGACCCTCTCTAGTCACCAAATGGTCAGTCCTTCCTCGGGGAGGCCAGGGGAATTAAAGTGACTTGAGTTCATGGAGGTGTCCCTGCAAGAGAGAAAATGAACTCACCTCTTCCCTGTGAGGGTGCTGAGGCGCTGGCACAGGGTGCCCAGAGAAGCTGTGGCTGCCTCATCCCTTGCAGTGCCCAAGGCCAGGTTGGACACAGGGGCTTGGAGCAAGCTGCTCCAGTGGAAGGGGTCCCTGCCAAGTAGAAGGACTGGTAGGTTATGAAGGACCCCTGCCTGGGATGTTGCAGAAATCCTTAGAGTTGGAATCACCTCACATGTAAGTAATGTGGTGTTTGCAGCCAGCTCTTACTCTTAGTTTACTTCATCAAGAATTTATATACAGTCTCACAGAGCTTCACCTCTTCCCTGCTCACATCCCAGTGAAGGGTTGAGCTGTTCCCTCAGTCACTGACCCAACAGAATAAAAACATTCTCCTTCCACACTCCCTGTGAACACCAAATGTGGTCCTTTATAAGCCTCTGCCATGTGCACTGTGAGAGCTCTGACCAGGACTGAAATGCAGGCTTTTATGTAGCTGAATTCTCCATAGATTCTCTTTATAAAAGGACAAAGGGAATGTATTTCCATAAAGAAGTTCTTTGGGAAAAAGGATGGAACCCAAGAACTGAGACTATAGCTCTGCAGTTCTCTTCATGCCCTCATTTATTTGGAGAAATCTATTAAAGCACAATAAAATTACCCGCGCAGTCCCTGCTGTGGCTGATGAGTCGTCTAAATCCAAACCCTGAACTCCCTGATCTGGGGAGATTTGCACTTGTGCTTTCCAGTACTAAATATCTTCAAGCACAGCTTGGATGTAGGAAACTGGAGAGAGAATCTCCAAGGCAGTGGGTGCTACATGGGAGGCTTTTCTACCCTCAGAAAACCTCGTAGTGTTTTTCTCAGCCCAGTTTTAGTTGTCGAGCTGCTTGCTTGCTGATGGTAAATGGATTTGGAGAAGAGCCCTGCTGCAGGGAGAATGCTCCATAAAATCAGTATTCAGCACCAATACCCCTCACCAGCAGTGAGTAAAGGAAAGGTTACCTCTCTTGACCTGCTGGCAGTGCTCTGGTGGTAGAACTGGTGGCCTTCTTTGCTGCAAGGGCTCATGGTGGTTTGCTGTCCACCAAGACCTCCAGATGCTTCTCTGGGAAGCTGGTTTCCAGGTTGGAACTGGATGATCTTTAAGGTCCCTTCCAACTCAAACCGTTCTATGACTGTGTGGGGCCTGGGCACTGACCACTGGCGTTGGGGTATCCGTGTGCCATTAACACAGGATATGTTTTCCTAAGTTGAAACCAAGGTGTCGGGGAAGAAATTAAGATGAAATGAAGCTGCAGTTTTGTGCCATTTCCCCTCTGCTCTTTCCACTTCATTTCTGAGCATGCAGAGAATGTTGATTACCAGAAATAAGCAGGGCTTGTGTTCTCACTCCTGTGAAACTGTAAAGGTTGCCATCCTTTGAGCTCTTACTTAGCTAATGGTGTAGTTTGCTCCTATAAGCTTTTGTGGCAGAGAATCAAGCACATGTCAAAAGTTCAGGAAGGCAGCGATGTGCTGGCATGCAATGGAAAGTGCATTATCCTTTAATAGGGATTGGCAGAGAGACTTGGCAGCAATAGCAGGGGAGGATCAGGCTCTGCCACCCTTGTGTGCTGTTCCACAAGCTGTCTCCTGTCTCAAACCAACTCTGAAATCTCATGGTGCATGGTTCCCATAAAGTCTGTCCTGCTCTCTTGAATGAAGGCTTCTCATGGAAGGCTAGGATCTGCAGGTCTAGCAAAGCAGTGTAGCAGAGGGCTTTATTCTGAGAATAACACTTTCTGTTCTGCAGTTTTAGGCAAAGAATGCCTCTTGAATGGGCCTCAGTTCAGTGAAACTGCGTGGCTTTGTCAACTTAAAACATGGGAAATCCCTTTATCAGAACCTGGAAAGCCATACCCTCCAGCTGGGTACCGGACAGGTCTTCCCTCCACACCATCCCACCAGCAAAACCTCTGGCATGGTCGCCACAGCATGTGCTGAGGGGTTCGCTGTTACAACAGCTCCTGGATCCTCATTGTTCCCTTTTCCTTTCACCCCTTTCACGTGTCCTTGATGGGCTCTCTCTGGAGCTTTTCACTGATGCCCGAGTGCAGCTCATTGAGGCCAGCTTGAAGGGAACCATAAGGTGATGGTGGTGTTTGCCAGTTTGGCCACTGCTGAGCTATGCGGTCACTGGGAGATGGTCGAGGACCCCTTTGTGCTGGAGCACTGAGGTAGCAGCAGATCTTACAGAAAACCTGTTCTTGAGAAGCTCAGTTTGCATTCCCATGGACGTTTGGAGACTTCTGAGTAATTTTGTTAGAAACAAGGCTGAAAACTTAAAATGCTATGCTTTGTTACACAGCTGAGGTGGGTGGCAGCTATTAATTGGAAACACAATTCCAAGCTGAAGAAAGGCTTGAGGCACTGAAGTGCTGCTGCTAGCAGGCAGGAATTTGGGCAGCCTATTGAAGTGCTGGTGATCTGTGTCCTTGTTTGTGGGCACTGATGTGGCCCTTCGAGCTGAAATAACAACCCAGCAGAATAGGATTTCTTGGCTTCATGGTCACTCTCATCGTACAGTGTGGAAGTGGGTTGCTGCTTCCTCAGAAAACACACTGCCGATGAAGAAAAAAAGCTTGCTAATGTGGAAGTCCTCTAGTAACACCAGGGCTGTGTGTTTGATGTAATGCAGGCTGGTGGCTTTAATCCTCTTGCAGGAATGATAGCTTTGCTGAGCACTGTGCAAAGACCTGAAGAGGCTGCTTTCACCTGGAGATGGGCTCCCAGGGCTCCTGTTCCTGAGTTAGTGAGAAGCCCTCTGAGGACGATACAGCGGCTACATGAAATCCTTGACTAAATGTCTTTGCTGGGGGGGGGGGGGAGGAGGAGCACCCACACATGTGGTGTGGTCCAGAAAGTAATTTAGAGATTTTGGAGGATTAAAATCATGAACCTTTGCCTAAGGATTAGATGGAAGTTTCTTTAGTGTAAGCCAAGCTTAAATATCGATTCTCTTGCAACAGCTTTGTGGGAAGGCTGAGCCCTGGAGTAGAGCAAAAAGCATTTCAGTGCTTCCACACGTCGCTTTTACTGCTGTGAAACTGTACTTGAGGCTTTTAATTGCTTCACCCCAGTTAGGTTTGGGGTGTAGGGTGGGCATAGCTGTGCTTACCTGGTTATCCACCGTTCTCTGCATGGGTAAATGACTGGACTCAGTGATGCACAGTGAGTGAGGTGACAGTCATTGACAGGGTATCTTGAAAAGTTCTGGCTATTTTGTAAGTTCAGTGTTGGTCTGTGGCAGGGGGTTGGAACTGGATGAGCTTTAAGTCCCTTCAACCCAAACCATTCTGGGATTCTATGATTTTACATTCCCAGGGGAATGGCCCAGTGCAGTTGTGGAGCTTTTCTATCGCCAGCAAGACCCTTCTTCCTTCTGGTGTGCAACAAAAAGAAACTCGGCCTTGAGATCTTAGTCCTTTGCAAAGTCAGCTTCCCAAAATCAGACCAACTTCTCCCTCGTTTGGGGAGTAGTAAACTCTTGGCAGCCTTGAAAGCAGGGTTGATGGTGTGTCACCTAGAAGGGCTCTGGTACTGGTGTGGCTGGGTGTTGCTGTATGGCCTGTGCTGGAGTCACAGGGCACCAGGACAGTGATTTGCTGCATCACCTCTAGTTGATACATGCAGAGAGTGGGAGGTCTGGGGAGCAGAGACGCACAAAGATCAGCATCGAAGGAAATGGGCATTTAATTCTGTTTCCATTAAAGCTGTCTGTTGTAATGAAGGCATCATGAGCAGCTACAGCATTACCAACAGGCTTGGAGCCTGTTTGCTTTCCTGGGAGATATTTACAGCCATGGCTGGGGTTGGGTTTCCCAGTGCACTACTGTACCTTCCTCTCCAAAGGAAAAGGTCACAGTTCGTTCTGTGGTAAATAGCCAGGCCATGTGCTTTGCAAAGGGATGAGTGGTTGAGAGACTTGGCATCAAACCCCAGTGCAGTAGTTCTGTCAGCTGTTGGTAACTTTAACTTCCTGAAGCATTTAGAGCTGCTCTTTGAATCAGCATGAAGAAGCTGATGGCATTGCTTAGCCCACTTCTTTTTTGTCTTTTTTTTTTTTCCTCCTTCTCGGAAAAAAAATCACTCCTCAGCACTGAACATACACCACAAAACCCTGGAGCCCTTTACTTGTCCTGGTGAAAGTAGCTCTGTTGTTCCAGGTGGGATCATTGCTGTGTCTGAGCGTGTATGTGTGTATGTGTCCCCGCTCCTGCTCCAGACTCCCTGAGCTCCGTCCTGTAGCTTCACTGGCTCATTCCTGCTCGGTAGAGTAGCTCACACCCCAGCAGCAGCCTGGGCCCTAACCCTTGCTTGTTGTATTTTTTCCTCTCTTCCACTCTTGTTACATTTTTACTTTCTTTTCTTCTTTGTGATGGGACGTTTTCAGCCGATGTATTGAAAGCAAACCCTTCTAATTTTGGAGGCCAGATCACAAGAGTGAGTTTCTTTCTGCAAGTGTCTATAGCTGTAGCTTTTTCTGTGTGTCTTCCCCTCTGAATTTGGCAGCACTCAACCATATTTAGTAAATACCATTAGGTAAGAAAATCCTGTCTTGTCAAATCTTTCCCCTTTTTCACAAAGCAATGTTCTCTTTACATTGGGACAACTTAATGCCTCTCATTTGAGTTTTGGGTTAGTTTTCAGATCCACTGTTTGTCTGTGGTCCAGCCTGACTTGGATGGGGCTGGGAGCAATCTGGTCTAGTGGAAGGTGTCCCTGCCTGGGCAGGGGGTTGGAACTGGGTGAGCTTTAAGGTTCCTTCCAACACAAACCATTCTGTGCTGACTTTGCTCCATCCAAGAGGCAGTCAGCAGCCACAGGTGTATTTACAAATCACCGATGATTTGTCCAACTTGTACAAGAAGCTTTCTCAAGTGACTACTGCTTTGATCCCTTTAGTGTTTCAGGCCTTCCATGAAGTGCCTGAAAACGTGAAACTTCCTCAGAAGCTGGCTCCATGATCCTTCCTGGAATTGGGCCTTTTGGAAGGGTTTCACATAGTGCACCAAAAAAGAAAAATCTGTTTGGGTGGGAAAGTCTTTCCTTGCTGCTTTCTGTCACTTGAACTTCTGCACAGTGCTCTAAAAAAGCCTCATGAATTTTGCCATGTATGCAGAGGAGAAAGAGCAGCCTCTTTCCTAGTGCTTTGAGACAAAGGCTTTCAAACATTTCCTATAGTCTTGGATGTTCCATTCCTATTAGACCTGGAGCTCTAGATTTCCTCTGACATTATGACATTTGGAATCCCTTGGGCTTGGTTGACTTCCTCCTGTGCCAGGATTCCTGGGCATCTGGTGGTTCTGCTCTCTCAAGTATCCAAACCCAAAAGAGCATTTTAGAGTGTTTTGTTTCTTGAGAGCCCATCTCAGAACTACTGTCAGGAAAGCAAGTAACTGTTTGTGGTGTATGTTGTATTGTTTCTTTGCTTGCTGGAGTCATCTGCATGGGATTTTGGGCACCTTCTCCAATGTAATTTGTACATTGCTTTTGGAAGATGTAATACTTGGATAACTCTTGCACCAGCTAATCCCTCTCTGTCCATGCTACTCAGACGTCTGTCGTGTGCTCTTTGTCAAGTACATCTGCACCCTGCAAGAGCAGCAGAACCATTCCTTTATTTTTCCCCTTTTCCTTCCAGAATTTGCTTGTTGCTTTGAAATCAGCTTTATTGTACATGCTAAAGAAAACCAGTGGTGTTGATTGGATTTGCAGATACACAGACTTGAAATAAGGGAAAGTGATCAACAGTTGTCTTTTCATTTAGCTACTGGGAGGATGGCAATGTGCTCCATGTGGTTTGTTGAGCTATGATGCTGTTGCTCCATCCTAGCTCAATAAATGTTCCTGGGGAGGGGCTTGACAGTGCACTTCCAGTGCGACAGCAGAGCTGCTTTTGGACACTTTACCACAAGCCCACTTTGACCTAATCCGTTCCTGCTTTCTTTTGCCTCAGAGGTTGAAGGATCTCAAGCAGAGGGAGTTCGCTCGCAACGTCTCTTCAAGGTCACGTAAAGATGAAAGGAAGCAGGAGAAGGCCCTGCGGCGCCTCCACGAGCTGGCTGAGCAGAGGAGGCAGCCTGAGTGGTGAGTGGGGTGATCCTGAGCACCCTCAGGGCTCCTGTGTGTGAGCCCTGCCTGGGGCTGCAGCCTGGGCTGTGCTGCCATTCTGGCTCCTGTAATAGCACACAGGTTTGGAGGGCAAGCCACACCCCATGCTGTGGTTTTGGTGGGAGTGAGTTCCCTGAAGCCATAGTCCAGAGCGTCCCCAAATGCCTTTATCCAGCAGTATGTTTTCTTCAGTTAGTTATTTTTATTAACAAATGGCTGTGTGATGCTATTTTAATGTGTATTTTTGGATACCAGAGTACTTGAAATCCTAGAATCCCAGACTGGTTTGGGTTGAAGGGATCTTAAAGCTTTTCCAGTTCCAGCCCCTGCCACAGGCAGGGACACCTTCTATAGAGCAGGTTGCTCCAAGCCCCTCTGTCCAACGTGGCCTTGAACACTGCCAGGGATGGGGCAGCCACAGCTCTGTGTAGAAGACTTTTAAAATGAGGCGTGGATCCATCTGCAGGGATATACAGGTGGCAGTCAGCTGTTTCCTCTGTTTTAACTTGTTCATACAGTGCTCCTGGAAGTGGCCCCATGTTCAGAACCACCACGGTGGCTGTGGATGAGGAAGGTGGAGATGATGGTGATGATTCTGCAGCCAACAGCAGCTCTTTCATCCAGTCAACTTCTGGCCAAGCTACAGAGATGAGTATGGACAGAGGTTTCTTAAACACTGGACAAGTTGCTGGCACTGTTACACCAAGCCAGATGCCCATCCAGGGAGCACAAGCAATCAGCTTTGGCATCAAGAGTACTTCGGGAACTCCCCTGCAGAAGATAGGTGTGTCTTTTTCCTTTGCAAAGAAGACTCCAGTAAAGCTTGAGACCATAGCTTCTGTTTTCAAGGACCATGTGGAAGAATCGAATGCTGCAGATGGAGGAAAAGCTGATGAGAAAGGGTCCTCAGAGGCAGGGAGCCTGCAGAAATCTGGTGAGGGTGAAAGCACAAATAACTCTGATGGCAAGGCAGAGGAAGATGACCAACATGACAAAGACAGTGGGTCTCTAGCCACTACTTTGTCAAAACTAAAAAAGATGAGACGAGAAGATGGACCAATGGCAATTGAACCAGAATACTACCACTATATTCCCCCAGCCCATTGTAAAGTGAAGCCTAACTTTCAATTCCTGCTTTTCATGAAGTCTACTGAGCAAATGGAAGCTGAAAATGTGAACAAAAAAGACACCCATGAAGTGAAAAAGGGTGGTTCTCCAAAGCCCAAACCCAGCAAGCACTTGGAGAAGGCTGCTGAGAGCACGGGGCAGCAGAAGGAGCAGAGCACTACTGAAAGCACAGCTCAGCAGAGCAAAACTGAGCTAAAAGAAGTCCTGGAAAATGCGAGTGTGCAGGAGAGCAAACATCTGCCAGAGAGCGACCCCCCTGAGCCAGACGCTGCTAAAGAAGCCCCACAGCCTGCCTCGGGCTGTAAGAATGTCTCTGAAGGACCAAAGCATCCCACAGGACCTTTTTTCCCTGTTCTGAGTAAAGATGAGAGTACGACCCTCCAGTGGCCTTCAGAGCTTCTCATATTTACCAAAGCAGAACCGTCGGTTTCGTACAGTTGTAACCCCCTGTATTTTGATTTCAAGCTCTCTCGCAATAAAGATGGTAAAGGCAAAGGGGCAGAGAAACCCAAGGAGCCAGGGGGACTTTGTAAGGAAAGTGGTCAGAGCACAGAACCTGGTGAGATGAGCAAAGCCAAGGAGGCAGAAAGCGTAGCCAACAGTTCTGCTCTGAGAATGGAAACCAACTCTCTGTCCCACTGTGGCTCCCAGAACAAGCAGGAGTGCAGCTTGGTGAGTGTTAGTAAGGGACAGGGAGAAGAGGGTGGTAAAAGCATAATGGGGAAGAGCAAATCTGGCAGGTCCCATAAACACAAAAAGAAAAAGAAGCACAAAAAGTCCAGCAAACACAGACGGAAACACAAGGAGGAGGCTGATGAGAAGGGCCGGAAAACTGACCTGGGGGAAGAGAAACCCAAGAAACGGAGAAGACACCGGCACAAAAAAGGCAAGTCCTGTCTTTCAACTGAATCGGAGCGGGCCCTGAAAACGGAACTGGCCGAGGAGTGTGGGCACTGCCCGAGGAGAAAGCGGTGCTCCCAGGAGTCCCAGAGGAAGTCTCTGTCTGCGGAAGAGGGAAGCAGCGGTAAGAAAGAGGATGGAGGTAACTCCTGTCCGGAGCACTGCAGCAGGAGGCACAGGGCTGGCCCGCAGCAGTTCCCCGCTCCAAGACAGCGCTGTTCAGGCCCTGCTCCGGGCAGGGCCGCCCGCAGGAGCCGGCAGAGCAGCGGGGACTACGACAGCGAGGAGGGCTCCCCCGGGAAGCGCTGCCGGCAGGAGTCCCCCTCGCACTACAGCGATGAGGATGACTCCGGCAGCGAGCGGTCCCGGAGCCGCTCCCGCTCCGAGCGCAGGCGCTCCTCCCGCGGGTCCTACTCCTCCAGCTCCGAGGGCTCCTCAGACCACAGCCGCTACAGCCGCCACAGCCGGCGGCGGAGCTACTCAGAGGACAGCTACAGCGATTACAGCGAGCGGTCAAGGTGCCACTCAGAGCGGTCCAATGACTCGGAGGATGACTCTGACTACAACAGCTCGAGTCACAGATCCAAGCGGCACAAGTACTCCTCCTCAGACGACGACTACAGCTCCAGCCGGAGCAGGTCGAGGAGCCGGAGCAGGAGCACAACGCACCCTCGAGGCAGGTCACGCACGAGGAGCCGGGGCAGGACACGCAGCAGCAGCTGCAGCCGCAGCCGGAGCAAGAGGAGGAGCCGCAGTGCAACGGAGCGCAGCTGGAAACGGAGCCGCAGCTACAGCAGGGACCGCAGCCGCAGCGCCAGGAGCCACTCCCAGAGGTCCCTGTCACGGAAGGGCTCTCGAGGCCATGAGAGTCCCGAGGAGAGGAGACCTGGGAGGAGAGACTTCATCAGGTCCAAAATCTACCGCTCACAGTCTCCACACTATTTCCGTACAGGCCGAGGTGAAGGATGCTCGCTGAAGAAAGAGGATGGCAAAGGAGAGGATCTGAAAGGGTCTGGCTCACTCTCCCAAACCAGCAGCGGCTCTGGCACAGGCAGGGCCTCGGAAGGGGATGGCAGCCATGAGGAGAGAAACTCTGTCACTGCAAAGCTGCTCCTGGAAAAGATTCAGTCCAAGAAGGTTGAGAAGAAGCCCTGCATCCCTGATGAGATGCTCCCAGGGGCAAACAAGGTGGGAATAAAGCTCAAGGATCCTCCCCAGGGCTACTTTGGCCCCAAACTTCCTCCTTCCTTGGGCAGCAAACCAGTTCTCCCCTTAATTGGGAAACTGCCAACCGTTCGGAAGCCAAACACCAAACGGTACGAGGAGTCTGGGCTGGAGAGGGGCGAGGAGCAAGAGCTGTCGGATGTTGAGGAGGTTTCCCAGGGCATTGAGGAGGCTCAGCTGGGTGGCCAGTCTCTCCTGGAAGAAGTGGTGATGGTGATTCAGGACAAGCCTCTGGATGAGCAGAAACGGGACGAATCTGCTATGGAAATGCGGTCCATTCCCCTCGAGGCACCGGCGCTCCCCGAGTGCTTCAGGTCTGGAGATCTGGTTATGCCACACAGCTTCCTCTCGGAGCCGGGCGATGGTGATGGGCTAGAACCTATGGATGGGGGCAACCAGCCAGTCCCAGTGGAAACCAGTATGATGCCCTTAGTTCCAGATGTCGAGCACTTTCCTGGCTACGTGCCTCAGGGTGGCGAGCCAAGCATCGAAGGGGACCGGGAAGGAGAAGATTCCTCTCTAGCACCACTCGAGAGCCAGCCCATCACTTTTACACCTGAGGAGATGGAGAAGTACAGTAAGCTGCAGCAAGCTGCGCAGCAGCACATCCAGCAGCAGCTCATGGCAAAGCAGGTCAAGGCCTTCCCAGCCTCAGCAGCCCTGGCTCCGGCAGCGCCTGCCCTGCAGCCCATCCACATCCAGCAGCCGCCAGCGGCCTCAGCCACGTCCATCACCACGGTGCAGCATGCCATCCTGCAGCACCACGCTGCTGCTGCCGCCGCCGCCATCGGCATCCACCCACACCCCCATCCCCAGCCCCTCGCTCAGGTTCACCACATACCCCAGCCCCACTTGACACCGATTTCCTTATCCCACTTGACCCACTCCATTATTCCAGGGCACCCTGCTACATTTCTAGCCAGCCACCCCATCCACATCATTCCGGCGTCAGCCATTCATCCCGGCCCCTTCACTTTCCATCCTGTTCCTCATGCTCTTTATCCAACCCTTCTTGCCCCGAGACCCGCTGCAGCTGCAGCTGCCACAGCCTTACACCTTCACCCTCTGCTGCACCCCATCTTCTCAGGACAGGACTTGCAGCATCCACCCAGTCACGGCACATGAAGGACAAAATGAAGTAACCTCGGAGGAAGGAGAATCTTGTGCATTTTGGGACGGGGTTTGGAGTTGATCCAGCTGGGAGGTGAAGCCTGAGAATTTCTTTTCACTCGTTAGCAGCCAAAGAAGCCAGAGGCTCGAGGGCTGGGGAGCAGCAGGCGGTGGGTCAGCCGTAAGCCTTGTGTATATCCACTACCAGGGACCGTGTCACATCCCCAACACCTCTGCGCACGTGGCAGCACTCTTAGGAGAATCATTTCACGTGTAGACCAGCAGGATGCTTGGAAAGGCTGTATTTGTTTTCTTTTCCCTAATTCTCACACTTGACCATCTCCCTTCTGCCACCTTGTACATGATGAAGGAGATCCCATACATGCTTACAGATCTCTAAAAACCCTTTTAATGAGGTCATCGAATTGAAAGAGCATGATTGAATCCAGCTTGGAATGGGTGAGAAAAGACTGAGGAACTGGCGGCTGTGGATGCTGGTGAGGAGGTGAAGGGAAGGACAGGGCCACGCTGGTTTTGGCTGGGCCAGCACCAGCCTTCAGGCATCACAGGAGGTTCCTGGCTGCCGATTTTGGGGGGGTTGTCCTCGGGGTGGGCAGCAAAGGTGGAATTAAGATCTTACTGTAAAGAGGAAGAGAGGAGCTACACGAGGACCCAGAGCCCCATGTCCTGGGCTGCAGAGAGGCTCGGGGGTAGTGATTCCAGTCTGGGTTTGACCACTCTTCTCCTGAGAGGAGGGAAAACATCTCCCTGACTTCCAGCTCCTGTGGTGTTGGGAGAGAGGAGAAAGTCCCTTTGGGAATTAAAGCAATACTGAGGCTTGGGGAGAGTGGCCGGGGTGTGTGAAGTGAATTCCTCTTTCCTCTGTAATACTGATGGTTTCCTTATTAATTTATAGGATTTTTCTTTTCAATGTAAAGAATTGCACTGAACTCTGTAAACAAAGATGCTGCTTTTTGTAGCTCCTATAAAAAGGTTACATTTGTAGTATATTGCAATAATATTTTTTACAGCCAGTTCTTTTAGTGGTACTTTGTTCTGGTGGCTTTTGTGTAAATAGGTTTGCTGTAGGTGAAATAAGACACTTGGAGAGGTTCCACTTTGGAGTTGCAGCTAGCTGCAGGACGACTTCAGCATGTATAGTTTATTGAGCTCACATATTTTTGAAGTTTTTATGTACCATAAAATGTAAAAAAAAAACAACCCAAAATAAATAAAAAGACAATTGAATCTTCATTTAGCGTTTTACAGCATACCACGAAGGCAGGGAGCAGGGGCGGCTCCGTGTCCCTGCGCTAGGAATTGGACCCTGGAGGCAGCCTTGGGAGGGGCAGAGTGTAAAACACCCGGCTTTGTCTCTGCTTCTTCCCCCTGGGCTCCAGCGGGTGACTGCAGGTGCCAGCAGCCTTCTGGTGAGGGAAGAGCCTTAGAGCCCAGCCCATCCTCCGCCAGGAGAGGTGGTTTAGGCCTAACCCTGGTGTTCCCTAAGGGATTGCTCCGTTCTTCCAGCTGATACCGCGGGGAGGCGCTTCCAGCCACGAGCTCTCCCATGGCACTGGGATTTTGGGATTCAGGTCCTTGGCTCAGCCCGGTTTGGGAGCTGGCAGCGGGGGATCCCCTTCCCCATCCTCCTGGGCAGGCACAGACTGAAAGGATCAAAACCTCTGGAGCTTCCTCACTCTTGAATGAGAGATGTTGAGTGTGGGCAGGTCTGAACCCCAGCACTCACTAAAAGGGACTCGATTTCTCTGTAAATAATGAAGAGATTCAGTATTAATGTCTCAGTGCTGGGCTTCCTTAGCTTCTAGATCCCACATCCACGTTCTGGCACTCTTCACGCTGCAGCCCGGAGGGGGGGTTTGACTTCCAGAATAGTGCTAAAAATAATTAACCTGTCATTACTTACCAGGCATAAACAGACTGTATTTAACTTTGTCACATAAGATTATATATATATATATATATATATATGCTGTAAAATGAGGGGGAAAAAAGGTTTCTAATAAACCAATGATTTGTGGAAAAATGTGTGTGGTTGTTGCATGACGTGAATGGGAGCTGCTGCAGCTGATGGGGATAGAGCCCAGGGCTTCTTCCTAAAATAACAGCATTGGATGCTTGGTTCATCAACTAAAACAGCTCTGAACTGGGACTGTGCTCCGCAGCCGCAGAGAAAATGTACTTTTAGTTTGTGTCATTCAGGGGGTGTTAAAGGGTTGTGTTTGAGCAAGGAGCCCTCAGCACAGCGAGTGGCAAAACCACCCTGCCTGGTGAGCCTGGAACCAGAATGGAACCAGGCAAGGGGCACAGGAATCCCAGCCTGGTTTGGGTTGAAGGGATCTTAAAGCACCTCCAGTTCCAACCCCTGCCACAGGCAGGGACCCCTTCCACTGGAGCAGCTTGCTCCAAGCCCCTGTGTCCAACCTGGCCTTGAGCACTGCCAGGGATGGGGCAGCCACAGCTTCTCTGGGCACCCTGTGCCAGCGCCTCAGCACCCTCACAGGGAAGAGCTTCTGCCTAAGAGCTCAGCTCAGGCTCCCCTCGGGCAGGTTCAAGCCATTCCCCTTGGCCTGGCCCTACAGGCCCTTGTCCCAAGCCCCTCTCCAGGTTCCCTGCAGCCCCTTTAGGCACTGGAGCTGCTCTCAGGTCTCCCCTTCAGGAGCCTTCTCTTCTCCAGGCTGCCCCAGCCCAGCTCTCTCAGCCTGGCTCCAGGGCAGAGCTGCTCCAGCCCTCGCAGCAGCTCTGTGCCCTGCTCTGGCATCGCTCCAGTGCTGCCCAGGCCTCACTTGGTCTCTGGGCACCTTTCCCTGCATGCAGGACAAGGAGCCCTCCTGCAGGCCTGGCTGTGGCTGTCCCAGCCCTGGAACTCATCCTCTCACCCGCTCTTTTCCCAGAGCCCCTGCGCTGCTCGGCCCCGCTCTTCTTCCCCTTTTGGGGTGCCTCTGCCCGGGCAGTTTGGTGGCGATGCCCAGTGCTGGTGCTGGTGCTGCTGCAGGGGGGAGCCCCTCCCTGCTCCCTCTGCTCTGGAGGGGACCTTGGGGACAGCGGATGGGGCCCCTGCGCCCCGTACCCCCCCCCCCCCCACCGCATTTCCTCCGGCCGGGCCTGCACCCCGGGATACGGGTCCCGCCGCGCGGGCGGGGCGGGGGGCTCAGCGGGTGCTGGGTGCGGGTTTGTGCTGCTGCCACCGTGGCCGTGCGCCCCCACCCCTCCCCGTGTGGTTCCGTGTGCGGGGGCTCCCTTCCTGTCCCGGCCCCGGCTGCGTTCCCCCGATAAGGCAGGGCCGGGCCGGGCCGGGCTGCGCCGCGCCGGGGCTGGGGCTGGGGCTGCACTTGGGGAGGCGATGGCCGCTGCTGCGGGTGCTGCCGCGCTCCTGCGGGCCCTGCTGCTGCTCGGGGCGCTGCGCTCGGGCCCTGCCCTCAGCCTCCTGCGGGACCCCCCCGCCACGTACAAGGGGCCCCCCGGCAGCTACTTCGGCTTCTCCCTGGATTTCCACACGGCCCGGGGCAGGTAGGGGGGAGCCCGGGGTGCTGGGGCCGGGCACAGCTCCCGACCCCCCCCGACCCCCGCCTCCTGCCCCCCGCAGTCCCAGCGTTGTGGTGGGGGCCCCCCGCGCCAACACCTCCCAGCCCGGCGTGGAGCAGCCCGGAGCCGTCTTCCTCTGCCCCTGGCCCCCCAGCGGGGCCCCCTGCGACCCGGTCCCCATCGACACCACCGGTGAGTGGGGGCCGCGGGGTGACGGCGCCTGGGGGGGGCACCAGCACCCCCCCGCTCCCCTCCCGGCTCCCGCAGGAGACGAGCGCGAGGCGCGGGGCAGCCTGGAGCTGCGCACCTACAAATCGCACCAGTGGCTGGGCGCGTCCGTCACCAGCTGGCGGGGCAGGCTCGTGGTGGGTACCGGCGGCGGGCGGCGGGCGGCGGCGGGGCGGGGCGGGCACCCAGCGCATCCCGTCCCTGGGCCAGGCCTGCGCCCCGCTGCAGCACTGGAACGCGCTGGACGGGCAGCACGAGGCGTTCCGCACCCCGACCGGCGCCTGCTTCGTGGGTGCTCCCGACCCGCTGCGCGTCGCCTGGTACTCGCCCTGCCGCGACCACCTCATGGCCGGCGCCTACCGGGACAGCAACTACGGTGCGTGGGGCCGCGGGTGCGGGCGGTGCGCGCCCCCCGCCCATGGCCGCTCTGACCCTGCCCCGTGCCCGCAGTCTATGACAAGCGGTACTGCGAGATCGGCTTCAGCGCGGCCGTCACCCGGGTGAGATGGGTGTGAGGGTCTCGGGGTAACCCTGGGGATGATCAAGGGATACTCAGGAGGATGCAGGGGGTGAGGCCGGGATGGTACCTGGGTCGGGGTGCTGGGCTGGGGATGCTGGGATGGGAATGTTGGGTTGGGGATGCTGGGTGGGGGGAAGGATGCTGCAGGAGGTGATGCAGTGGGGTACCCCAGTGTGGCTGCTGACAGCAGCTCCTCTTGTAGGACGGGACACTGGTTCTGGGTGCCCCCGGCGGGTACTACTTCATGGGTGAGTCCTGCCTTTGGGTGGGCACAGCAAGATCAGGGCACCCAGGATGGGGCACCCCAATAGGTGCCATCCACAGCAGCACTGGGAGCCCAGGGCCAGTGCCAGCAGGTGCCACATCAGCGCTGGTTCCACCCTATGTCCCGCAGGGCTCCTGTACTCAGTGGGAATTGACACCATCCTCACCCGCTTCCACGGCAAGTCCCTGCTGTGGCCGGAGCAACCAGGACGCCCCACAGAGGAGCCGGTGTCCTTTGACTACGAGGATGGGTACCGGGGTGAGCAGTGAGCCTGGGGCAGCCCCACAGCCCCAGAGCTGGGGCACAGGGGGTCACTGGTGCCCATCTCCCTGCAGGGTACTCTGTGGCTGTGGGCGAGTTCGATGGCAATCCCAAAACCAAAGGTAGTGCTTGGGGGGTGGACAAATGGGCCCTGGGCAATCTCTGAGCTCACCCCAGTGCCAGGGATGTCCCTGTGCCCACCCCAGTGCCATGGGGCACTCAGAGCTCTTGTCCCTGCAGAGTACGTGGTGGGGGTCCCCAACAAGAGCAACACGAGGGGTGAGGTGAGTAGGGCCAGGTGTGGGTGCCCAATGAGGGGGACACCACCAAGGCCATGCCCAAGGAACTGGTAAATGCCCCATCCCTGGCAGTGTTCAAGGCCAGGTTGGACACAGGGCCTTGGAGCAAGCTGCTCCAGTGGAAGGGGTCCCTGCCCGTGGCAGGGGGTGGAACTGGAGGAGCTTTAAGGTCCCTTCCAACCCAACCCAACCCAACCCAACCCACTCTGTGCATCTATGGTTCCATGCACCCCACGTGCCCCCCTGTAATGGGGCCAGGGCCTGACACTGCTCTGGGCAGGTGGAGATCTTCAGTGTGGGAGTGACCCTGCGCCAGCTGCGGGGCATCACCAGCGAGCAGGTACCCAACACCCTGCACCCACCCCACTGCCCAGACACCCCCAGCACCCTGTCCCCATGATCCCCAGTCTGGCACCACTGCTCCCTACCAGCACCCCATGGCTCCCTGCTGCCCACTGCCACCCTGCCCAGGCACCCCGTGGTACCCCAGTACCCTCAGCACCCGAATCCCCCCCTCCCATCACCCAGCACACCCCGCGGTGCCTATGGCACAACCCCCCCCTGCCCCCCGCCCCGTGCCTCCCCTCACCCAGACCCTTTCTAGGTGGCATCGTACTTTGGGCACGCAGTGGCCGTGGCCGACGTCAATGGGGATGGGTGAGAGCTGGGACTGTCCCCCCCTTCCATAGGGGCACCCATGGGTGCTGCCCCTGCCTGGCACCCCCCCGAGTGCCACCAGACCCCAAACCTGGGCCCCCTCCCCTGACCCTTGCACTGGGTGCAGGCAGGACGATGTGCTGGTGGGTGCCCCCCTCTTCATGGCCCGGCGCCCCGACGGGCAGCGCAGCGAGCTGGGACGCCTCTACCTGTACCTGGGGGGGCTGCAGCGGCCCCTCGCCCGGCCCCCCCAGACCCTGACGGGCACCCACCCCTACGGCCGCTTCGCCGCCGCCATCGCCAGCCTCGGGGACCAGGACAAGGACGGCTTCGGGGGTACCGGCACCCGGCACGGGGCTGGGATGGAGGCGCTGCGAGGGCCCCCCCGCGGTGCCCGCTCTAAAGCAGCGGGGGAGCAGCGGCAGGAGCTGGGGCAGCCGCGGGCTTTCACGGCCCCTGTGTCCGCAGACGTGGCCGTGGGTGCCCCCTTCGG